TTTTGGCGAATAAATTTTTTTTAGTCGCCAAAACCTTCACCGACCGTTTTCCGGCGACAAATCTAGTGACCAAAATATTTAGTCAGGAAAAGGTTTCGACGACTAAAAACCTTACTTTTAGTCACCAAAAATGTATTTTCTTGTAGTGCCCGCCTTACCTCAGGGCCGGCTCTGCACGGGAATAGTTATGGCACTGCCGACGTAGACAATCTGGATACGCTAATAGTCAGGTTAGTGCTGTAAATCATGTGAATCATAGCCGTTGGATTAAGAAAATATCAAAATACTTTCATGGAACATTAGACAAACAGAAAGAGCCCAGAAAGGTACCTCCATTGTCTCTCAGCTTGTTCATTTCTCAATTGGTCTCATCTGTCCGTGCTACTATTTGTGATGAATTCTGTTGACTTTAATAAGATACAGTGTAAGAATTGTTGGCCACATGCGGATATATAATTGGATACCCTGGTGCAACATGTAGAGAGAAAACCCCCCATGCGTCTTTGTCTGACCAAAAACATAAAAAAAAGTGCAAGTTAAGCCTCGTTTGGCAAGTAACTATTTTAATTAAAAAGTTAAAAAATTATTAAAAAAATTAAAAAGTCAACAACTCATATCCAAAAGTCAAAAATTCTCTTTTTTCTCTACTTTTTGCACATCTTTTCGTAAAAAGCCAAGAAGTCATCCCAAACATACTAGTTTTTTTTACATCATATTTTAACTAAAAAATTAAAAAGTTACTAAAAAAGTCTGTTCTCAAACGAAGGCTTAGTATGCATGCGTGTCTATTATAGATAATAGCACCGTTGCAGCGATAAAATAGTGTTATCTATAGAAAAATGTTATTTCACATAATGTGAGTCATTGTTTGTCTCCTAAGAACAATACGGCATGAACAAGCCTTTTGAGTGTAATAATTGAAATCAAAAAATTTACTATTAGAGCCAGCGAACTTAACCTGAAACTTGTCAACTCTCTCAATTTTAACAGTTTAAATCCAATTTAAATTTATCTAATAATAAATTGGTTGCATCTTGAAAACCTATTAAAATTGACTTTAAATGGGTTGAACATTAGTACTTGTTAAATTTGAAAATAAAACAAACAACAAATGAACCACATTGCCTAGATACTAAAGTAATGAGAATTATAAGCATGACGGCACCCTCATTGCAATAATTAGCTTTTAAGATTGAGTTCACAAACTACCACCACCACTAGGCTGCAAAATGGCTTTAAAAGTCAACAAACTGCTACTCGGTAACTCGGCTTGTTTGCAGTTCTAAAATGAATTGGATATATATACCGTTAAATTTGCCGCGACCATTATCAATGTATAATTTGGTCACCACCACTATCAATTTATAATTGGGAATGGATCATCTAATGAGCAAGTTTGCCAAAAAGGGCACCTAGATAGACAAGGGCCATGGTCTAATGCGTACCTCAACATTATCTGCACCACACAATCGTGAGGTGTCGAGCCATCTGCAATTGACATCCACAACCGCCAGCAAAACAGGTAACCATCCTTGTACCTTGCATGCAAAGGTCAAGAATCAATCACCCATGAGAGAGTCCCATGACCAATCAAACACCATTACCATTAATCCAATCAAGTCATTCTAAATCAACACAAAGAAGAATGTGTTTGACATTATCTATATGTCTGCTTTTGATACAATCTTTATCACTGCTCAGTGGATCAATTTATTTGATAATTAAGAGATGCAGATAGAGGCTAACCCACCCCCACACCACTTCACTTTTTAAGCTGAGATGACAATTGAGTCAATCAATTATTGACGAAACGACCCATAATTGCCAACCCTTCATGTGTCAATATCCCAATTCTTAAAAAGAAAAGAACATATTGAACCGAACATAACTTAGCCACGTCCTCTAAAAACTTTTTGGGCAACATGATATAAATAATAGTTGCCGACATCCCCACCAATTGCTAGATTGCTGTTAACGAATTGAGTTGTTTTTAAATTCCTTTGAACTCAACTTATTTGTTAAATGAATAAGTTTGAGTTACATTTTTGGTTTGTTTAGTAATCGAATTGGCCTCAATAAAGCCAAGCTCAACTCAAATAAGCTCCTGAACACAACTATATATGAATTAACAGTGTTTTTAATTTATTTCTTTTATTTCCCTATTTATGTTTAACATTTCTACAAATCTACATATTTGATTGATAAATTTTATTAATAATATGATCATTCTTTTATATTTTGCTCATAATCTTCTTATTTTTCTCTTAATATGCATATTAATTTACAAAGCTCAAGTTTCTCAAAATACTTGACGAGTTGAGCTCAAGCTCGAGTCTTTAAATTGAGATAGACTAATTTTCAATGAGTCAAACTCAAACATTCTAAAGCTCAGCACTATTTGTGATACATTGGAGTATCAAAAATCTAAACAAGAAAAAATAAAAAATAAAAAATTGAATTTGACAACCAACCAATGCTACGCCCAAAGCATAACTTTCATGCTGCCAATCACAGCATTACAATCACAATTTAAGAATGTGGTTGAAAGTGGATATTACAATCACAATTTAAGAGTCACTTTTTAAGTTCATTTCCAGTGCCCTAATATCCTAAATGTTTCAAGTGAGAGGAAGGTTGCCCTTCCAGACTTCAACAAGAGTAAAAGCAGAATTTATACATACCTGTTAGATGTCTCTGGCTGGGTTGGCTCAAATTGTACTTTAGTTCGTTGTTGTATTCCGAAAAAGAGCATACATATCTGGGGGAGTCCTAAAGTTTTCCACCGCCCATCAAATCTATCTCCATCCAGAAGCTGGGAAGTTCAAGGGTTTATAAAGAATTTTATATCTAAACCTAGCATGTTAAACATTGATCCCAAACAAAACTTGCAGTTTCTATCATGGTAGCACCATTCCACAGCTCATTGCTTCATCCCTACAATAACATTGTGGCATATGATCATGATTAATTCATATTTCAATTATTTGATGATGGTATCAGGTAAAATTCAAGAAAGTGGGGAATAAAAATTGTAGAGAAATTTGCCACTACATTCCAACTTTCATTGTTCATCAATCATAAACAGTTCAAGCATACAAATACACATTTCTGCCAAAATGAAAGATAATCACATAAAAATTTGAATATCATTAAAAATTTATTGGCCGTCCACCTTATCTTGACATTTTCTCTCAGTTTCATCTTCAATTCTAGATAAAAATGTGTTTCAGAGATTCCAAAATCTTACAGCTTAATCCTCCAAGCATCAAACTTACAGCTGTTGGGTTTTCTTATCATCAAGCAATTAAGCAGTCGGAGAGTACCTAGCTCAGTTAAAACAAAGTTTGCTTTTAAAAATGCTCTTAGGAGATCCAAAGGCTAATGAGAGAGATGGTGGAACGTTGACACACTTATGGTTCTCATCTATCTTTTTCCACACAAAGTATGCTTCTCTGCTTACTTCTAATTCAACGAAATTATTTTTATAGCTTAATAAAATATGTGGTACATATGCTGTCATGCATAAACACACTTGTAAAGACGTATATTCCCATCAAGAATGGCCCCGTTGATAGTCTCTTGACACTTAAAAACTTTTTCTCTTATATGTAAAGATGCTTGTGGGGTGCCTAGTTCCTTAAAAACCAACAGACCAGTACCTGATGGGCCTCATTTATGAAAAGGACATATTTCCAATGAAAATTGCTATAGTATAAACAAGAACATGCCTGGCTGACAATGAAAGAAGATGGCATCATCACACGTGCCAAATTTATTGACGCAAGCCAAAAAGTACCAGAGACTGTTGGGACACCAGTCCACGTATATAGTAGTTATGTGGCGATACTGAACATTGATGTCATGTTAATGCTTGATAACATATTTTCACCAATCACGAGCGGTGTGAAATGAGGTTACTGAGGTTGGGTTGTTACTTGCAGCTAACATATTGTAATGAAAGCTTTACAGAATGTAAAACACATTTTTAAGTGTTCAGTTAAACCTGCATTAGTATACCAAATTCAATCAGAGCATGACCTGTACAAAACAGAAAAATATAAGATAGCAAACAACACAAACAAAATTTATTGTTATCAGTGGCAAAGATAAAGATATCTGTTAAGAGGCACTAACACAGTTATATCAGTGAATCAGTTAAGGGAATTTCAACACTGAAAAACAAAGAAAAAATAAAGAAAAGAAGAAGAAGAAGATCAGGTTCCTTTTAGTTAGAACCACCCTCAGAAGGGTAGACCCACCACCAAGTGCTTGGATAAAACTTTTTGGGTCCCTAATGAAAAAAGATCTTCTTCTTTGTCATATTATCTTTGAATTCATTAGGGTCCAACAAAATATTCTCAGGACCTATGTTACATGGATTTGGATACGGGTTCATATCTTGAGATTGGATACATCAAATCTCAAATTTAAGGGTACATGAATTAGGCAAAATATCATATTTTTTATTTTCAAACTATTATGTGAGATAAAATGATATTAGATGTAACATAGTGTCAAAAAAATATATTTTACTTATTTCATAGTAATTATACAACAAATATACATACAAATACGAATATATAAGAATTGTCCACTAAAAACTATCACACATTCCACACCCTTGACCGAGTGTCGAGTGTCCGAAACCGGTATTTAATTTATTTTGAAGAATCCATGTAACATAGCTCTGGACTCCACTCAAATTGGAAGTCCAATGACATAACTATAAGAAGGCATGTGTTCTGATAGGTGCAGACCAAACCGCTAACCATGTACTAAACACAAACCAGGAGACCAACCTCACAAGTGCACAGCCAGATAAAATCATGAGCTCATGGGGTCCTCTGACCCCACTCCCCATTAGGCCACATTATTCGATTTTGATACAAAATAGCCAACCAAATCTTGTAACTTTCTCAATGTTTCTCTCTACCTGCCTTAATTTGAGGTCCTTGGAGCCTTTCAGGACACATTTTTGACATCACATTCATTAAATAGTCATAGTCCTTAATACGAAAAGCACACTGTCTCTCACTTCCTCCTACTGCCGAAGTGGTCTAAATCAAGCACTCTGAAGAAAGATCAAAAAAATGAAGGTAACTCCAATTTATGTTGAAATTTGGATGATGAAAACGGTTCTTAATATTTTCTGAGTTCATGTTTTCATATATCTTGATTGCAGTTACTTGGTTGGATGCATCGCAAGTTCCGGGCCAATGAACCACTGAAGGATTTTAGCATAGGTAAGTCATGTATACCCTTATATATTTTTCTGCTAACGCTTTGCTAAAGCAATAATGAAAAGATTGGTGCACATATTAGAGTCAGACTGTAAGTGCAGTATTAAACATAATCACGAGTAGTCATTATAATATTTGTGGTAAGACCAATATAATCTAGCAGCATAATCAGTAGATCACTGGAAATTCGATAAGTCAGGTGTTGTTTAGGAAAGACAGCTTCAAAGCAAAGTAGCTGTTACATACCTGGAAATAATTAACCGCATAAGACCTGTGTACTTAGCAACTCTCCATGCTGCATGCTTATTTATAGCTGGAGTACAGCTTCAAGTTCAACGGAATGAACTACATACTGTAAGATTGTTACACTTGACATTCCCTTTGAGTATAATGCTAATTGTTTTCCCAATCGATACACGTTCCCGATTCCTGTACTGAAAATTGAGATAATGGTAAGCATCAACAAGCCCATGAGTCATGATCCATAATATTTAAAACAACAGCAAAGCATAATATGCCATTAATTCTTTTGAGATGCATTTGAAAACACAAACCTACATGACATCCCTCCCAACTAACCTCACCATTATCCCAATTATTTAACATTTCTTCTGTCAGGGAATTCTTGTACTTGTCTTTCAGGGCAGCCATCACTGGATGACCAACAGTACTACCCAAAGTCAAATTTTGGCACTAAATCCTTAGGCAAAGCACAGAGAGACAACCATCTGCGAAAATCATTTGCCAGCCTAGAAGCAGCAAGAGTAGAAGAAGACGACTTTGAAGAAGAATCTTCAGTTGCGATTTCCGAGCTCTTCCATGGCTTCCTTACCATAGGCACTCTTGGTTCAGACCCAATCATCACAGACCCATCAACGCCAACATTTGCCATATCAGTTGAGAACATAACTGAAAAAGAAACAGAAGTAACAGAGAATGAACTGAAGCTTATTAATGATGAGTTGGAGAAGGTGCTGGGGGCTGAAGGAGACGGTTGCAATGACTCATCTGGGAGAAACAGTCATGTTAGTACTGGAAGAAACAGTTATGTTAGTACTGGAAGAAGCAGCCATGGTAGCACCATTACACTTAGCGGAAAGCCATTGGAAGGCACAGAGACCAGTGGAAATGGAACAACAATCTGTCCACTCCAGGGCTATCTGTTCGGATCAGCAATTGAGTTGCCAGAAACAACCACAGTGGTAAAGAAGGAACATAGAACATCACTTGGGGAGCTGTTTCAGAGGACAAAAATAGCGGAGGAAAATTATGTAGCCAAAAGCGAGAGGGGAGAAAAACGGACAGAAAAGGAGACAGATAAATCAGCCATACACCTCATGAAAAAGATGCTGAAGAAAAGAATGGTTCATGGTTCTTCTCGGAGCTCCACCACATCGACTGGGGGAAATGTTGACTCTGCTTCATCTGAGACAAAACTGCATAAGGTTTGTGTACTTCTAGTTTAGATCTATATTACATGAACTTGGGCGCAATGCATATCAAAATGCAGGACCCAACAAATCTCAAATTTAAGGTACGCAAACTCGGCAAAAAAAGGTCAATTTTTTTTTTATATTATTTTTAATATATTATGTGAGACAAAATGGAAACATATGTCAAAAAGGCATTTTACTTATTTTAAATCAATTATACAACAATATATACATATATATATATATATATAATGATAGTGTTGAATATAAATATGTAAGAAGCATCCGATGGAAAGTGTCAGACACATACAGATATTTGATTTACTTTGAAGTGTCTACCTAACATAGGTTTAGATACTAGATCTTCTGAAATGAGCACACACAGCACTGCATCTCCTAGACGTTGTTTTGTTGGTACCATTAAGATAAAAAAAAAAAATATCCCCATAATTGAGGATGTTAGGAGGGATAGACTGGATACAGACTTGATCTTCGATGTAATATGCACAAAGTGGCTCCCCTCATATTGAAACCCATGTTCTCATGCTTGGCATCCCGAGCATTTTACCATTGCTCCAAGCACAATATCATCTGTAATTCAATTACAAAGAACATAATGTGAAGTGTCAATAAACCAATCAGATGGTTGCTATGAAGCACGGATACTTTAAAAAGGGTGACGTATCCGTATTGGATACTTATCGGATACCGATACTCCTCGGATACTCGCGGATACGTATCGGATACTTCTTAAAAGTATCGGATACTTCTTAATTAATTTTTTATTAATTTTGAAGTATCGGATACTTAATTTTGAAGTATCGGATACTCGAAGTTACATATTACTTATAATATTTTGTTTAGTTCTTTCATAAGAGGAATATAGTGAGAGCTAAAGTAATAGAATTTGTCAAATTGATGTATCCTTGTTGTCTCTCTCACTTCTCTCTCGCTTTCTCACTCTCTCACGTTTCTTCTCTCTGCTCTCATTCTTTTTTTGGTGTTGGCATGTAAGGATGATGTTTAATTTGCATCTGCATTTGCATTTGCTTTTGCTTTTGCTTTTAGTTTTGGATGTTTTATGAATGTTTGAGCACTTTTAGATTAATAGGAATTCCTCTCTTTATTTATTAATTTACTTTAAGTTTTATTTTCATGCATATTACATTATTAAAATCATAAAATAAAATAAAAATTATGAATGTATCCCCGCCGTACCCGTATCATACTTTTTCAAATTTTGACATATCGCCATAACCACATCCCCATATCACCATATTCGTATCCGTGCTTCCTAGGCTATCATTGATGACTTAAGAAAGTATATTTGTTGAAATTTTTATTTAAGAATGGTTTTTTGGCTTTGGCTTTAGCTAAGGTCTTGTGATATTCACTAATAAAGGGGAACAAGTTGAAGCTATTGACCTTGAAGACTCTTAGTTTTGTAGGAATTTTCTTTTTTATCAAGTTGTCTTTTGCTTTAAGTTTTATTTTTATGCGTACTGCATTACTAAAAATTGTTAAAATAATATTTTTTACAAACGTATCCCCACCGTACCCGTATCCTAGTTTTTCAAATTTTGTCGTATCGCCGTATCGTATCGTATCCGTATCCGTGCTTCCTAGGATGGTTGTTACTAAGCTTTTCTGAGTATTTCACTGAATCTGAATCCTACAGGATGCACTAGCAAGTCCAGGTTATGTATTCTCTGATTGGTTTCCTAATTCAACAAATTACTGCATGCAGATCCTCCACATGTTCCACAGGAAAGTCCATCCTGAAAGCTCCACGGCTGCACGAAAATCTCATAAGCCTCGTAAAAATGACATAAAGAACAACATCACCTATGAGGGGGGCTACAATAATGGAGATGGAATGCTCCCAGACGAAGATATCATGATATTTCCTCAGAGAGCCCTCTCAAGAGAGAGCATTAGACGCTTCAAGAGCCACTCCAACCCACCCCAAGTCACACTCAGTGGAAGCGATTCAAATGGGAACAGGGAATTCTGGATCAAAACAGATGCAGACTGTAAGTACACATATATCTCCCATCCCAAAATCCAATCTACATGCCAGAGTCTGGTGATTGTAGTGTGACAGAGACTAGATTATGGACCATAGATCCTGGAATTTATTATCACTCTTTGGCTGCTGAAGATGTAACTAAATTTTCTCGATATGCATGAAGGGAAGCCCTCCTACTTGAGGTCCCAATCTAGTTTCACACTTACATTCTCTAATTAGCACAAGTCATATATGGGTTCAGATATCATGTCCTCCTGAAAATTGGTAGCATGTAAGGCACTAATGTAGATATAATTATTACAGTGGTCCAATTATTTTCGTAATTAACCTCACTCAGTTCTATTGTTTACACTGCAGACTTGGTGTTGGAGCTCTAGAGGGCAGAAGATGCATTCTGAAGTGTGGTTATGATATATTAGCATTAAACAGTAAGAGTGTATTATATTTATAAATATTCTCCTCCTGGATGATTATTTTCTAGCAATATCTGAGTGGTTATATCCTAATAAGCTAGAAAATGATAAAAGAATAAAAGAGGTCCCTCTCTAAATACCCATGAGTATATGTCAAGATTGAGGTCTATCCGTCTGTTAGTAAACATGGTTCAATTATTCTGAGTGTAAGGTTTGATATGTTGGCATCATACATGATTTCCACATGAATTCGTTGTTATTTCTCTTCTAGAGAGATGAATTATTCTAAAAAATCAATCAGAAAGGAACAACAAAATCTTTCTTAATCCCACCATTTATTTTATACCATTGGAGTCTTCTTGACAAGACAAGTTACCTACCCAAAACAATGCTAAAGTTGTAGAACGTTTCTAGCTAATCATTCTTCCTTCATTTACCTTGATGTTCCTTTATTTTCTTTTTCTTCCCCTAATTTTTTCTGCGTAAAATGTGGAAAGGTCAATTGTTGCTGTTTGATATACAATGATTCCACAATTAAATTGGTCCGGGTTCTTATTTTCAAACATTTAACATAAACTATGAGTTCTTTTTTTCAAAAACAGGACTGCTCTGGAACATTAACACCACTTCAAGGGTTCAAACAATTATGAGGGAGTGCATAAGGAGTACAGAAAAAATATTTCTATCAGGCTAAAAAATTTCTGGAGTGGTAGAAGTCCAGACTTAAATGTTTTCAGAAAGCAGTGTAAATCCAAAAAGTACTGACACAGATAAAACAACATAATGTTACATGCATATGCATCCAACTGGTAATTAACAGGAATAGTTGCAACAGCATTCGACAGTACATAAAAGTGAAAAGCCTATAATAATAACATTGCTCTCAGATGTATAAAGTATATGAAGCTTTCCATAGTAGAGGCAGAATCAGCCCTAATCGCCCAAGGCCTTTAAAATTTACATGGCATGTGCATATCATTTTGCATTTTCATAGCTATTAGTGAACATGAACAATGATACAGTAGGCAAAAACAAAGAAGCAACACAATATACAAACAGTGCTTCTTTCAGAAATGTAAGCAAAATGCTCATTGAATATCAACATATGAAGGGTTTGATCTGAATATATACAATTGAATAAAAGAATCCAACCACCAACTAAACCTTACAATGAAAACAGTGAACTGTCATCACATTGTTTTATTTTATCCATGTCAAAAAAGCAAATCACACATCCTCAGCACACTGACACGTAAACTTATTGAATTGATGGGACAAGATTACAAGTGGTTTATTGATTATCCTGAACATTCGTAGTTAACATAATCTGGCCTCAGGTCTGTCAAATTCAAATTGAGTGGAATGGGTCAGAGCAAGCATCTGAAAAACAATCCGTGCTTAGGATTGAAACTTTAATCCTATATTTGGATCTAGTATTTGTTTAGAGAAAGATAAATTAAATTACTTGTACTTGGTCATATTTTTTATGAGTAACCAAACAATAAATAAATAAATTTTTTGAGGAATGACTATACCCTTTCTTTTCATCTGCTTATCCTGATCAAACAAAAGCAATGAATATGCCTTCTCTCACCTTGTTTTTCTCTTCCATTCTCATCCTTTCATTTTCCTTTTCTTCAACAAATCTAAAACCAAACAACGCACAACAAAATTTGCTTATGAAGTGTAATAGAATTGTTAGGTCCCTTAGTTTTGTCAATCCCACGAACAAACATTGTTAATCGAGTTGTAAGTTTCTTGGTTGATTTGCCTTGCTCGCTCGAGCGAAGGAGTCCTGGCTCGAGCAAAGATGTCCTGCTCCTAGAAGTTGTCTTTGTCTGCAAAGATTCTGGGAAGGAAGATTGTGCGCTCGAGCGAAGGAAGCTTGGCTTGAGCGACGCCACTTAAGGAAAACAGGCGCATTTGGCTCCTCGCTCGAGCGAGAGAGTCTTCGCTCGAGCGACCTTTGCTGCCCCTGTTTTCTATGAGTACTTGTTTAAGTTTGATTTAGGGTTACATTTTTGAGATCTTCTTTAAGGGTTTTAGGGTTTTCTTTCGGGGCTGTTTTGCTAGTTTTCCTTGATGTTTAATTGAGTATTAAACTCATTTTTTGATAAGCACACATCAAAGAGTTTAATTGATCATCTTTAAGAGTTTCTTCGGTGGAATCCGAAGATTCAAGCGCAGAGGAGTTGAAGGAGTTTGATGTTGTGCGCAGTCGTTGATTTGACAATGGATGTTGTGGATTCAACATCAATCTGATCAATTCCAAGACGAAGGTTGCAGTGAAAGATATATAGATTGTTGAAGACAAATTGACAACGTTTGGGTAATTTGTTTGGTATATTTGTAATCTTTCTTTCTTCAGCAGTGGATTGATTTGTGGCGTTTCGCCCATGGTTTTTTAATCATAATTGGAGGTGCTCCAATAGTGATTTTTTCTACGTAAAAATCGTTTGTGTCTATTTATTGTTCTGAAACAACAATCTAAATCACTTTCGTACGTGCTTAATGATTTAGATTGTTAGTTTTAATTGGTTGGGTATTGATAAAATTAAATCTTGATCTAATCATGAATCACTTAGGTTTTTTCAATTGGTATAAGAGCGGGTCACTCTTTGTTTTTATCAAAACTATAGGAGTGTGATTTTGTGTTATTGGTAATATGGATTCAATTCGTGAAGGTAACTCGACCCATAAACCTCCATTACTTGATGGTACAAACTATTCTTATTGGAAAGCTCGTATGAGAGCGTTTTTAAAATCTATTAATGAAAAAATTTGGCATTGTGTGATCTATGGGTGGAATGAACCTGTTGTCACCATTGATGGTGTTGATATTCCCAAACCCCTTGATAAATGGAACGCATTTGACTATCAAAACTCGAGTTGGAATAGTAAGGCTCTCAATTCCCTCTTTTGCTCTATCACACCTGAAGAGTTTCGTCGTATTTGCACGTGTGAGGTAGCAAAAGAGGCTTGGGACATTCTTGAAACAATTCACGAGGATACTACTTCTGTTAAAAGGTCAAAACTTTAACGTCTCACCTCCGCCTTTGAAACTCTTTTTATGCGTGATGATGAGACGTTTGATGATTTTTATGCTAAACTTAGTGACATTGTGAATTCCTGTTTGACACTCGGTGAAAAAATCCCTAAAGCTAAGATTATTGGAAAATTTTTGAGGTCTTTACCCAAGAGGTTTCAATCAAAAGTGACAGCTATTGAGGAGGCTCAGGATGTTGATACCCTCAAGCTTGATCGGTTGGTTGGAAACTTGCAAACTTATGAAGCCCACCAGATTTCTAAAAAAAAACAAAAAGATAGTGTGGCTTTCACTAGTGCTCATGAGACTACAAAAACTCCTGAGATTGAGTTTGATCTAGAGTCCAAAATGACGGCTATGTTTACTAAATAGCTCAAAAAAAATTTATAGAAAAAGAAGCCTAATTTCAAGGACCTTATTTCAAAAGATAAGAGTAATGAAAAATCCAAAACTTTTCCACCAAAAATTGCTCCAAAAACTGAAAAGAAGATTGTGAAGGGGTAAGGGGTCAAGTGTTATGAATGTCAAGGGTTTGGACATATTGCTCTTGAATGTGTTTTGAAAAAGAATCAAAAGAAAGTCTATACAATGACTTGGGATGATGAAAGCGGGTCAGAGCAAGAACCCGATGAAACCGAATCCGGTGAAGATGGAGATAGTGCTTACATGGCATTCTCGTCTACTGTCACTCAACCTCCTCCAAAGCCAATGGAATTCGCTTGTGGTCAGAATCTACACCGTGCTCCTACCTTTGATGGGAGTAATTACTTGTTTTGGAAGATCAGAATGAGGATGTTTCTGAGAGCTTACGACCTTGAGGGCTGGCAAGCCATTGAAGATGATGTTGAAAGCGCTGACAATCTAAGTAATCAAAGAGTTCTGACTACTATTCATGAAGTGATTTATGACGAAGAACAGCAACGGATTGCTCACTGCACAAAGGCCAGAGATGCATGGGACATTCTGAGTCAATTTCATATCAGAGTCATCTTCACCACCATCTATCAATTTTCATGCCTTAGTTGCTCGACTGGACGAAGGCCAAGAGAAAAAGGAGCAAAAAGAAGATGATGAGACTTCAGAAGACAATGATGAGATTGATGGTGATGACCTACAATAAGCTTATGAAAAACTTTACGATGAATCTTTGAATTTGTCCAAGATAAATGACAAACTCACTTTCAAGCTCAAAGCATGTGAAAGCGAGAATGTCAAGCTAAAAGGAGAAATTGCCACAGCAAAGCCGAATGTCATCAAGATCTCTAATGACAGGCAAGACCTATATGAGAAACTTCTATCTTGTGAGATCGAAAGGAATGAACTTTTGAAAATATATGCCACATATGAAGAGAAGAATGAAAACCTTAAGATGTCATAAGCTACATTGGAAGAGATGGGTGGTCAAAAAGATGAAGAACTCAGAGATGCTAGAGCCACAAGTGCCATGTGGAACAAAGGTTCCAAGACATTAGAAGACATCCTCGGGTCTCAACAAATAGGTTGTGACAAAAGTGGTCTAGGCTATGGTAATACGACAGTTCACAAGGGACAAGCCTCCACATCACATGACTTGAAGACTTAAACAAAGGGAAAGCTGAAGGTGCAACAGGGTGATCTCTCTCTTCATCTGCCAAACAGGGGTAAGATCAACAAAAGAGAGGTAAAACCTATTTTTGTTTGTCATTATTGTTATAGGTATGGCCACATTCACCCTTATTGCTTTGAGTTGTTTGGTAAGGTGTCTCAAAAGGGTAGAAATTTTAATACTTTTTGGGTTAGAAGACAACCTTACATGTCTAGGCGGAACACCAAGATACATGAGGGTGTTCACAACGCTAAGACATTTACCAAGATTGCCAGTCCTGATTTTGTTAAGACCAAAAAGATATGGGTGAGAAACAGTGACTTGACTTGTTTTGTTCTTCACACTGCTCTAAAAGCACGTGACTCACACATGTAGTACCTTGATAATGGATGCTCTCGTCACATGTCAGGTGACAAATCCTACTTCACCTCCCTTGACAAATATGAAGGGTGAATTGTTACCTTTAGAGATAGTGGCACTTCTAGTTATTGGTAAGGGCTCTATAAGTGTGGCTCGTCTTCCTAAGCTCGAAAATGCATTACTTGTTAATGGCCTTAAAGCAAATCTTTTGAGTATCAGTCAAATGTGTGATTCCCACCATGAAGTATTATTTTCAAAAAATAAATGTGAAATTTTAGATAAAAAGGGAAATACTGTCATGCATGGGGTTCGTACATCTGATAACTGCTATGGGA